TATAAGCATTTCTCAATAAATATGGTATAAATTCCATATAGCAAAACTGAGAACAGCAACAAAAAACAAAGACATTAAACTAGAATTTCCAAAGTCCAGTACAAAAATTTGAGAATCCTATATTGTTCATACTGTAATTAATCAGGACAAACATGTCAGAAATTTGCAGACATTTAGCCACAAAAAGTGAAAAATAGATATTGTTACATTTTTATCATAGAGGTAAATGTGACATGTAGATGTAGTAGATTATGCCACAAGATCAGGCAAATGGTGGGTCCAACCTGGTGCAGCTGGAGAAAAGCGGTCGCTGGATGTGGAAAACTGCAGCCCCCTTGCTCCCGCGAGGTTTTACTGTCATGTGACATGATGATGTTATGCAGCGCCGGTGAAAGTCGGACAAAATTTCTAAACAGCATGCTTTATGTTAAGTCCAGCATGAATCACGTGCTGGTAAAAATCTGGCTCTTCAGCTGGAAATAAGACTGATGAGAGCGAGCCAAAACAATGAACTTGTGTGCTGCAAAACCAAAACAATGAGCTGAAAGTTGCTAAAACAGTAGGGAACTGCAGAGTTGAGGAAAAATTTCCCTTTCACACCACACGGTCATTTGATCCATTGCTAATGTTAAAATATTGATTCTAGCTGCTTTAAAATGCTGATGTTGCCCACTGCTTCCTTATGATTAAATGTTGCAGAAGCCTGTGGTGGAAGCATGTGACTGGATGATAGGTATTCAGTTTATTACGGACAGCTCTTCAAGGAAAGCTTTTGCTAATTTACTGGCATGAACAAAATTACTTTATTACTTCTAATCACAGTATCTGCAATCTCCAAATATTCATGTTGTTAATTCTAACAATTTTTGTGAGAAAGAAGCCGTATACATGTTTGTCGCCATGCATTTATTTTTGGTAAAGCCGTTGTCATACTGAAGACCTTTTGGGTTGTCTAATAAATAGGCTAATTTTATTTTGCATCTGGACTATTAGTTGCAAGGTACATTTTACTAATGAAGATCATTTATCCTCTGTATGGGACAGTTTTATGCCGGTCTTTGTCTGGTGGTTGAGTGTCAGTGTGAGTTGAGCAGCCACACAGCAGGACAGACTATGCAATGGAGCCAGACTGACAGCCAGTCTCATTACTATTACAGACAGGAGTAAAAGCAGGAGAGACGGACGGGGATCCCGCCGCCTGTGTCTGACTTTTCAAGGTTTTTCCTTTGCTCCCGCTGAGCTCCAGCAGAGCTGCAGGTAGCTCATCCAGAAACGAATCAACTGGTACTGACAACATCGCCCTCAATATCGAGACTAGACGGTTAATATTTGCCCCAGCACCTGCTCTGTCTGTCCTCATTAGCTTGCTTTTTGGGGCATCTTAGATGAGAGCTTGCAGAGCATCCGTCTGTGCTTAGCTTTGTGTCCGGGTGCACAGGGTGTCGGTTTATGTCAGAAGGCTTAAGATCAAACACATGGTGACATTAAAGGGGAGCACATGTGCACACTAGAAGTAGAAAATTCCGTAAATCACTTGTGAATTCCTCAAATGACTCACTTCTACAACCTTTTTCTGCTTGCACGCAGAGCTCAAAGGGAAATTTTCAGGGTCGCCTGGGTTAAAATCTCCTCTGCTGCCTCTGATTTATCTCTCCTCCGGTGGCAAGAGGGCAAATTACTAATTTTCTGCTACAATCTGCTGCTTATTGCTGCTGCACACCCACGGATCTTCTTGTACACATCATCTATGTGATTAATCGCCTTTAATTGCCACTAAACTCACTGGAGGCAACAGAGCTTGACCTAAATTGCATTAAGGGTCCTGTTCGACCTCTTATGACATCCACGAAGAGCAGAGGACCCCTCACTATGTAGGGATTGAACACTCTGACGATGCCCCTTTACTCTATTTAATGTGATTTACAGAGATTAACACAGACATGCTGTCACCACATAAAACCTTCTGACACAAATCTGAAGAGGCAGACTAGAGCTGGACGAGTCACACTATGTAGCTCTTAAATTTCTACTCGTCTTCTGTGACTGAAATTGACATTGGAGACGTGAAATTGATTACCATTGTGGTTTAGACACAGTCACGCAGTCCAAAATGGGAGGGGACCAGTGGAGATGTTGACAAGACGTCTGAGCAAATGGCAGAGAGGGAGCAGGAAAAGCGGGAGTAATGATCTGTAACAACATTAGCACACACCAGACACACATGTACAATACTGTAGAAGAAGGGGAAAGGCTGTAAAGCATCTGGGATAGATTCCTTGTGGGGGTCCAGTATCTTAGAGCCCTCTGCTGCTCTGCGCAACATCAAGAGGGATTTGGTTGCCATGGCGGCAGGTGGTTCAATTCTTTCTCCCTATAAAGAGAGAAATGTTTCACAAAGATAGAGAGAGCACAGTTTGTCCCAGTGTACCAAGACGACGACGGTGATGGTGCAGATTAAAAACCTTGAAGAAAATCTCGAAGAGATCTTATTAAATGATACAAACGAGTGCATATTCAGCTCTGAAATGTAAATGCTGCAGGTGTGGATTTAAGAAACAAGGTTCAAGTGTCTCAGTGTTTTATCCACTGCATCAACATTAGACAATGATGATAAAAAAATGCAGCGGCCCAGTCACAAAAGCACACGGATCAAACACCCAACAGCTTTGATCACTTTGAGTATTAAGCCAACAGTAAAATGTTAATGTGTCTGTTTATGTACACATTAACATTTGTGTATTTTTAGTGGTTGTTTTTACATTAAAGCTGCACTAATCATTCTTTATCTTTTTCTAAAGATGTTTTTGGGGCATTTTTAGCCTTTAATGGACAGGACAGTTTATAGTGTATAAGAAACGCAAGAAGGGTGACAAGCAGCAAAGGGCCACAGGTCGGATTCAAACCTGGGTCGCTGCTTTAAGGACTCATCGTGTACATGGGGCGCGCTCTCTACCAGGTAAGCTAAACCAAACCACAGCCATTATTTTTCTAATATAAAATGGATCAAATGACTATGATGTTTAATTAAATGTGTCGCTCGTATTGACAAACCCAGAGAATTATGAACCGACTCTGCAGTTCTCCTCAGTGTGTTTTAGTGTATTTCAGCTCTTTGTTTTGATTTTACAACCCACAAGTTTATTGTGTTGATTCACTCTCACCAACTTACAGCAGCAGCAGCGGGCAGTTGTTTTCAGCAACTGATGCTGCTTTAATCGTGCACAGGTTTCTCAAGCTGCAACAGCCTCTCAAATGTGAGGATTTGCTGCTTTTCTCTGTTTTATAGCATTGTTAATTGACTATTTTTGGGCTTTAGACTATTAAACAGATAAAACAAGCTGTTTGAAAACATCACCATCGGTTGTTGGAAATAATGTAATGTAATTGAGTTTCTACACCAGCATTATGCATAAATTCAAGTGACACATGAGAATCTATCTGCAGGATTTGGAATAAAAATTAAAATTTTCCCCCTGATGAATTATATGAGAAACACCCCGAAGCTCTGAAAGATGCCCATCCAAAACGCTGCCAGCTCTGAGCTCTCAGCCATCTGTTACAGTTCTTTAGGCAGCAGCTTCAGACAACAGGTCAGAAATAAGCAGGTGCAATGATAGAAGCCAAAAACAGGGCTGGACAGCGTGCATATTGGCACCAAGATCCCTGGTACCATCCATCGGTTTCTAAAAATGCTCCTTTAGCTCTTCTTTTCCATTTTGAATCCAAGAAAAGATGAAGAAAAAAAGGTCTGCAACTTCTCAAGTGATGGAAATTTGATGTGAGTGAAATGATCAACCCCCGCTGATTTTCCCATCAATTTTACAATTGCCTCATGCATCTGAGGTGACACACTATCTCACCACCACCCAGAAGAGATGATTGGACTGGAGGTGTATTAAATGGCTGTTTTGAAGACATACAAAATCAATTCTGCCTGTAAATGATGAGGACAGCTTATCTACACTTGTAGGGAGGCAATGATGTGTGTGTGTGTGTGTGTGTGTGTGTGTGTGTGTGTGTGTGTGTGTGTGTGTGAGTGTGTGAGTGAGAGAGAGAGAGAGAGAGAGAAAGAGAGAGAGAGAGCACCCAAATTCAAATGCATTCACCATATTTTTGGTTTTCTCATGGAAGCCAGGAGACACCATCACTACACATCACGTGTGTGTTTGTGTGCGGCTGAGTGAGTACTGAAGAGCATCTATATCTAGCTCTACATCCTCCCTCGCCACTGGAAGCTGAGAGTGTGGAGGTGAAGGTTCATGCTGCAGAGATAAACTCAGCTCTGCAGCCTTGCTTGCCCACAACAAGTCAGCCTCTAAAAACAGCTCAAAAACGGCTCAACCAAACTAAAGGCCAAAACAAAGCTATCGATGCTGCACTGCTGGCTCCGATTAAAGCATAGCTTCAATATTATCCATGCCTAATGATCTCTGGGGCTCCTGCGAGCTGTCAAAGCACAGATGACAGTGGAACATAAAGTGAAGAAATCTGCTGTAAGGAAGCTCAGAAGACACATGGTCAAGAGCCGAAATCATGCCAGACTCACTGCAACTTGTGCTCATCATTAGGCCTACAAAGAGAAGCGCACATGTGAATGACAAATAGAGCTGCCTCTGCGCACCAAAGACCCAGTTCCCAGTTCGGAAGACGTGCGCATAGCCAACACATTCATGAAGCTGATTGAAATGTGAGCTGGAGGTATGTCAGGGAGGAAAAAAACATGCATTGTGCATTGTAAAACATTCATTTAAATCCAATGTGACAGATCATTGAACATTCCCACTGCTCTGTTTGTCTAGCCTACTTGATGTTAGCGGAGCTGACAAGATCAACCCGTATAGGATAGCGCAAATTATTTTCAAGGCAGACTTGTTGCTCAGCTCAGAGAATGATGAATCGTTGTGCATAAAGCCTACATACAGAGAGAGAGACAGAGAAAATTCGCACTGGTAAACGGCAAACAAAGATTTTGCAGCTTGATAACGTTTTCTCGCACGTACCTTGTGCAGTTTCCACATTGCGCCCAGAGCTTTGACTTCATGTGTGCCGTGTTTTCCTTCTTCCAAACACTGATAACACACAGGCATCTTACACTGTACACAGTACATGCTTAGATTCTCCAGTTCGTGCTCGGTGCAAGTGGAGATTTTGCGGGGACTCGCGCGGCGACTTATCCGCCCCTGCGCTGGCGGCACGAGGCGATGCTTGGCGAGGGGACCGCGGGGAGGATGGCACCGGAGGCGGCATGGGTCGCAGTAGAACACGTCGCACTGTTCGCACATCACGGTGGCCTCCTTCGGACTCTTCTCGCAGAGCTGACACTTGAGAGCGGCCGCTTTGCTCTGCTGATACCTGTCAACAACCCCCTCTAGCACCCGGTTCTTGGGGAATCCGCGGAGCCCCCGGTCGTCCAGGATGAGGCTGCGGTGACACTGCGGGCAAGTGATACAGGAGTTGCGGGGGATCGGGGGTAAAGAGCCGGGCTGCGGTAGTAGGTGCTGTTGCGGAGGAGGCTGGGGGACACTCGGGGGGAAAACCCGCACTCCGTTCGGTGATTTTTGGCAAGGGGTGGTCGGAGCGCTGATGAAGCCACCGTAGGAACCGTATCCACTGTCCGCCTCACTGTATAAACTCATTTTATCCAAATCCAGATAATCATAGTCAGAGACGCCGGATCCGGAGGCTCGGCTGCTCTGTGGGGACTCAGCGTCGGGGGTCTGCACAAGGATATTCCGAGCACAAGCCAGGCAAATGTTGTGGGAGCACGGCAGTATGATGGGCTCCCGGTAAAAAGAGCCACAAACAGGGCATTTTAACTCTTCCTCCATTTCATCCATGGCTGCTTCTGTGAGGTGAGAGATTCCTCTGCGGAGTGCAAACACAAACTGGAGAAGTTACAGCAGAGTCTCGGCTGATTAGTCTGCTGCTCTGTTTGCGCGTATACGGAGATCCAGTCGCGTCCTACTGCGATTCCTGCAAGTGCAACCTTGACCGGAGGAAAGGCACCAGTACCGAGGAGGCAGGCTAACCGACACACACAAACACTCTTCACCAATAGGCAAACAGCATCAGCTCAGACTGGGTTACCATTGGGCAACCAGTGGATTCCAAACAACCATTGGATAACTCAACTGTCAGTGTGGGGAGGGTTCGTTAATGAGGTTTACAGCGAGATGCAACAGCATAGTCTCATGGAATAGGCCTACAGAATATCTAACACCAGCACAATTGTTTAGGGGATTGTAAGGGAAACAATGCGAGAATATTATTTTAATACAGAACAAATAATATTATTCAGACATATTAGATCAGAAGCAAATGCTTTATTTCTGTGGTTTTATACAGACAACCAAACCGAAGATAATACTGTGTGTTTCAGAAGATGCTTTCTTAAGCTGATTAGTCTAGAGGTGGAATTCAGATAATTTACTTAAGAGCATGCAAAACCACAACATAAGCAGGTAGTTATCAGTACAAGTCCTGCATTCAACCAGTTACTGAAGTACTGAAGTATTATCATCAAACTTGTAAGCAGCATTTTAATATTGTAGCTGCATGTTTACCTGCTGTATTAAGTGCTGGGTTGTGAATTTATTAAAATGCATCATATTTGACATCACATGTCTGTATGCCAAATCTTAATCAGCCAGTACCCTGTATCACTGCAGGGCTGCAACTAATGTTTTTATTAGCATTTCACAGTATTGATTAATCATTTGATAATAATATGTAATAATAATAATAATAGTGAAACATGTCTGTTGCAAGCTCTCAGAGCTCATTGGTGGCCAATCCTCCTCAATCCTCAAATTGCTTGTTTGTTCAATCAACAATCCAAAAGCAATCAAACACAAATAATCAATTTAACTATAAAGAGAGAAAAGCAGGAAATCTTCATATTTACATAGCTGGAGCTAATGAATGTTCAAAATTGTTGTTTAATAAATTACCAAATTATTTTTCAAATTGTTATTAATCTTCTGCCAACAACCTAATTGATCAGTTGACTAACCATTCCTGCATTATACAGCTGTCAAATAAATAAATTGGTGTAAAAAGTACAATATTTCCTCTGAAATGAAATGAAGTACAAGTTGTATAAAAAGGAAATACTAAAGTAGGGTACCAAGGTACTTAGTTACTTTATACATCTGATCCAACATGACAGACTATTTTTAGATTGCTTTGGCCAGGATCTGCATATTTAACCCATGCCACTTTGCATAGCTGCTGCACAGTATAAACTTGCAGGATTAGGGTTGTTTGTTTGTTGAAAATCATCTCTTCTCAGCTGCTGAGGGAGCAAAGATCACTCCTGAAGGAGACTGAAAACATGGAAACTGACTCCTTGCGAGATAAGATAAAGCAGCAGCTCTCCACTTTACTCGAAGGCGTTTTTTATTCAGTAGCCAGAGCTATCTCCATTTCTACGGCCAAATACCTCAGTCATCTCTGAGACATCCATGGCAACGTGAGCTGCCAGTTTTAGTCTTCAGCGGGACTGTTGATAGGGAAATTCAACGCAATAATCGGAATGCCTGTTTCTCAGACCCACAGAGGGCAACCTGAGGCCACTCAATGTGATTACATTTGCATATTTTGTAAAGCAGTTTGAGAAAGGGAAGTGAATTATGGGACTCAGGAATGTGTCCAACACATCAGATAGGCTGGCTCATAAACATATCAAAGCGTAAATGAATAATCTCATTCAGATTAATGATAATGTTGATTCAATACAAATGTACTTAAGAAAATCAAAAGATAACATGGATTAATAGCAACACAGCCAATAACTATATATTTATAATTTTTATAATTGTTGGGGGTACTTAAGAAAATCAAAAGATAACATGGATTAATAGCAACACAGCCAATAACTATATATTATAATTTTTATAATTGTTGGGGGAACTGTTGGGTCTCTGTTGATATTATTATAAAGAGTATAATGTAGACTGAGACTAGAGTCTGCTGTTGTGAATTGGCCCTATATAAATAAATTGAATTATAAATAATCCTCAGGTGAACACATATTTCCATTGTCATTAGATATAATAATAATCTAAAAACTCACATTGTGCCCCTGATATTTCACTTCATTAACATTCAAAGCATTAGGTGTTTAGCCTCTATCACAGCCTTCTGTAATGATAATGTGTCTGCTCATAATTCTTTAAGATTTGTGAAAATACACAACAAATGGCAAGTTTATCCATGTAAATATTTCCCTGGATTTAACCAAAATACAACGTTGATTCAAACCAAATGTTTGTAACAAGACCATCAGCTATTTTTGGATGCGTGCTTGCTGACGCCTCCAGCATGATGACATTGTTCTCTGTGTAATCTCCTCAGTTTGGGGCCACACTGCATCTTCCTGTTTGTTGCCTTCGAGTAGACAAGCGGCCAATCCTTCTGAAGCTCTATTTCATCTTTTTTGTCTTTTTGTGTCAATGCCAAAACTCTCCTGCTGCCACGACACACATACCCCAGGCAGCTCTGAGAGAAAATTTCTTTTTACTTTTCTATGATCCCACTCTGGTCTGTTTTTGATTTTTCATATGACCTCATGTGCAGTAACTTAGAAGAGTGACAAAGCAACATCATCAGCAAACACATAAAGTCAAATTAAGATGTTAAGATTAAGATTAAAATGTTGCCAAGTTATATATTTATATATATATATTTTATATATATATATATATATATATATATATATATATATATATATATATATATATATATGAAGACATTATTTCTAGCCGATGACCATCAGTTTTGCTGGCTAAAATGACAGTTGGCAGATTTAATTAGCTGCAGCTAGCTAGCTAAATAAGCTAACGTTAGCTCTGCGACTTGATTGAAAAAGCTGTCTGTGATTGATTTGTTTTGTAACGAGAACCCCATAAAGAGGGTCTGCACTAGATGGCTACATAATATTGTGCTAAAAGACTGAGCCATGACATGGTAATAAATCTTAGCTAATGTATTGTAGTGTAAAGCTAGTTAGTCTGTATGACCAGAGTGTTATTTCATTCTAACATAACCTGTTTAGCTGTTTAGCTAACGTACTAGGACAAGCAAGCCAGAGGTCAGATTCATGACTCATTGTTAGTATTTTCAAACACTTTGATTCAGTTTTAATGTTACAAAAGAAAAGGCTGTATCATGCTGTATTGGAGAAGGCTTAAAACTAGCGATTGAGATCGTAAGTGTGTACTAAGACACCAAATCAAGTAGGGTCATTTTGTCATAGACTTCTACATAGCTACAATCAGACTTCTTTTTGCAACCAGTGGAGTTGCCCCCTGCTGACATCAGAAAGAATGCAGGTTTAAGGCACTTTATCTCTAGCCTACTGGGCATACTTTTCAGACTTGTGGTTTTGCTTAGGAGAAATCCAAATTTTGAGGGACCTGCTGTGTGTAGTTATGGTTGCAAAGCTACGATTGGACATCCGCTGTTTGAGAGAGGGGTTTGGCAAACGGTCAGTTGCCTATGATGTATCAGTTAACAAATCTGTCTTTGCCTTAAAATAAAACTGCCTCTCCCTTGTTTTTTTGCATGATCCTCCTCTGCATTGTGTTTTTTTCAAAGAAACTTTAAATATGCAGACATGACTGCTCAGTTCTTCACACCTTCAATACCTGTATCTATTGCCCAACAGAGAAAAAAGACCCATTTTCAGAGCTGTATTCATCCCACAGTTCAGTCGTCCTGCTTGGATCTCACGTAGGTTTTTGGGGTCTGCCCCTCCATCGATAAGGGATAAAGTCTCCTTTGTGTGTTGCACTGAGTCTATTAACTCTTCTTACCATAGACTCCCTTTGCAGTCCGAGAGGCATCAAGCCATCTGTGCAAAGAACTACACAGACTGCAAGAGCTTTACGGCACACAGCTCTGCTAGATAGGAATCTCTATGGGACACTGTGGTGATATTGTCAAGATAAGAATAGAAGCGGCTGGTGTTTTTGTTACTGAGCTTTGGCTTAAAAAAGTTGTGGTTTTATAACTCTTTGAAGGCTGAAGTTACTATAATTTTGGGGCGTGGATGGTTATACTGGGTCCAAAATTACACTGTGAGGCAAACTTGCTTTCTTAAGAAGTTCATTTTGTTTTGAGTTTAAAAAGTAGAATTTAAATTTCTAGTAATTAATAGTTAATGAGGACTGTTAATTTGTAGTTTTGAAGAAAAGATTTTTATGTCCAATGTTATGTGCTATGTATCTGTGCATGGAAAGTACAGTATGGTTAAAGATTGTGTTTATGGCAAATGAACAACAAGTCCTCCAGATTAAATGTCAAAATATGTTGTTTGTCCGGCGGCATACTTGGGTCTCCTGCATGTCAGACTACACACCCATCCACCACCACGACATACACACCTTTACTTTTTGCCTTGCTACATATAGTGCAAACTATTTCCTGTGTTTGCAATAAACTTTGGCATTGGACGCAAATCATGTGTAGAATCGTCCAATATGGACACAACCCCAAGGGATATTGGACTATTTATATAGTGCATTTGCAGTTCAAGGCTTTTTGTAACCCTCAGAAACTACTAAACCAAATCTATAAAGGTGCTGCCTAAAGATCACTTGTACATTCACCTCCAGTTACTGTTCCTTACGCAAACATTCTCACATGATCACCATCTGCTATTATGGTTCTTTGTAGCAGTACAAGCACCTTGGGTGACAAAAGCCCAAAGTCACTCTGCTGACTTCCTGACATCTCAGTGCAATGCAGCATCTTTTGCAACCTCACATGAACTCATGTTTATGGATTCAGTACCATCTGTGCCCTTCACAGTGACCTGAATGCATTTTCCTGATGCAGTATTGGTAAATTAGGCCTTCAGGGAGAAACTGGGAATGATGCCTCATATTTATGATTATTATTTCTAAACTCAATATGCTCCAGAATTAATGACAGTAAACACATTGTTGATATGTTTTTTCTTTGGTTATTAAAGTGTAATTTCAGTTGCAAG